TAACAAGGGCTGTAATATATGTTATTCCTAAAATGAACCTCGTCCTTTTGAAGAAGCTAGTAATTTGATATATGCGACAATTTGCAATCCTGCAATTAATAATGAATGACTCCTTCAAAGGTCAGTTTCCTGTAACGCTTCAAATATCGAGAAATCGTTTAGGCTCTTAAGGTAAGGCTAGTGATATATGTGGCGAAACTGCGGTACCACGAAAATCAAAGTGCATTTTCAGCCAACAGAAACTCTAGAACATGCTCATAGATTTAAAGCAGCCATTAATAGACAAGAGGGCAAAACAAAATTCTTAGCAATAGAATCATTGCATATCTCTGCTGAAAAAAGAAAAGGCACGAAACGTATGTTGTATCCTTCGATATATTTAAAGAACGGAGTTAAATGCATTGATAGCTTAACATTTAATCGTTTCGATTTTATCTGCCGTAACTCATTTCTAAAGTTCGGTAAAGCGTTGGTGTGCAATTTCTCGACAGTAAACAAGGTATTCTGACAGACCAGCCACCCCTTCAGAAATAGAAATAGTGGCCTTTACAGAATCCTAAGAGACTGGTCTTCACGCCCTCTTCCCGAAGAAGGAGCATATTTCGGCAAATGGAGAGAGTAGTTCTTTGAACGTCTTTGCCACGAAATACTACCGAGACTTGCTGGAAGAGCAGCAAGCAACGGACACTGGTCTTTAGTTGACAAAGTAACAGAAGCTGTACAAAGCTGGAAAAATGACAAGGCTAGGCGACTGGAATCGATGAAATTCACCTTGGGGTGCTTAAAGCTTAAGACGAACTAGGGATATTGTCAACACCATTCTATGAAACTTCAATGTCGACAGGAAAGAAGCTAGTAGACTGTAGAACCAGAGTGGTAGTGCCACTGTTCGAGTAAGGAGACCACAAAGACTGTTCTAAATTTCGAGGCCTTATGGAGAATCCCTAGAAAAATCTACGCACACGTGTTAGAAAGGAGGTGTCGCGGAGCAGGTGACTCAAAAACACAAAAAGAAACGTATGGCTTCATTTCAGGCCAATGAACTCCTGATCAGATCTTCGCTTTACACCAGATTACTGAGAAATCGTGAGAACTCGCTCATCCGGTATAAATACACGTGAAAGCCTATGACCGGATCTTGCGCAACAAGCTTTGGGTATGCATGCAGACATACGGCTATGATTGCATGTTAGAACGAGCCATCAAGTCACTACTATCTATAGAAAGTGCTGACTGCAAGTAAATGACGTTAAGTCAAGACATTTCAATGTTGGTACCGGTTTCTCTGCAGCCAAGGGGGCGTCTTGTCTCTCTCATGTTTGTGTTGTACATAGAGAGAATAGCTAGAGCAACCGAGGACGACGAACTTATCACTGTAGTAGATGTTGAGAGGATAAAGTTGCTGTTTGCAAACGACTTTGTTTTGTTGGCACCTTCTGAAGCACATGTATAGTGATAGCTGAAAACGTAGACGGAGAACTTCGAATACCTCGCGATCCTATTTACCGGTGATGGAAAATTTGAGGAAAAAATTGCCTGGGTGATTGGAGTAGCCAGTGGCGTGCGCGTAAACTGGCACCAACCTCTGTGACTAGAGCATAGCTAATGTAAAGATATGGCCCATAACTTCAAGTCAGTCTTCATCCCTGTGCCCACCTACGGTTAAGAGTCATGGGTCACAGCTGAAAAACTTTGATCCCGATTATAAGCCGCTGAATT